ATTATTTACTTATTTGTTTCAAAACTTACATCTCATTTTTTCCTTTAAAAAATATCAGATACCAAGGAAAATTGTACACTAAGAAAGTAAACAGAAAGACATTGGGACATTGGAAAGAGTTTGGCTCTGAACTTCCTGGCAGTGAGGCACGGAAGTGAACATATTAAGTTTCATAGTTCTGGTAATGAGAACAAGTGAAATCCTCCATTTCCTTGAGAGAAGTGAATTTTTTTTCTTGTATTAAATTCTAGAAGAAACTTCTGAAATAAGGTCTTCTACAGTGGCCCTTTAGTAGCCTAGTGGACAATGTCTAAGGACAAAGTTGTATGAGACTTATTTCTACAAACAAAAATAGTCAGTGGTCAGTGGAATAATATTAACAGCAACTAGCTAGGTAATTTGTCAAGAGGTTGTCATTATTGAATTCAAATATCTAGGCTACCTAGTCTAACTTGGAACAGTGGGAAACTAATTTTGGATACAAGAAAAATCAATGAACTAAAAATCTCTTACGCTATTGTCTCTCCTAAATACGTTCATTTGAGTTTTACATAAATACATGTAAGCATATGCAGCATGGTGAGTCTCTCAATGCAAATTCAGGAAACAAAAAAAGAAATCATCTCACATAATGCAGATGTTATTCATTGTGGGCCAACTCCACCTTGTTCATAAAGTTTTGTTTTCATGATCTTTACTATTCCATGTACTAATGAATTTTAGATCAGGACACTTTCAAGAAATGTATTTCTTTTTTGGAAAAATCAACTATATTCTTCAAGAGAAGTAGCTGAACTTGGGCATCAAATCTGCACAACAGATTCAATAACAACCTGATAGATTTGTCTAAAATTTACTTTAATGGCTGCTTAACGTATTGGCTTTTTAAAAATCTAATGAAAACTGAGACAGTACTCTGGATCAAACTTATTAGATTTCTTTTTCATAAAACATGCCCTTTTATATCCAGCTCTGGAGATTTTATGATTTGAGATGATTGGTAATAGTGAATTGGTGAAAATATGTAGCAAAGTATCATAATTTGCTTATTCTACCTCATACATTATAGAGACTATTTGGAGCATAGAAATTTTGGCTGCTTAAGCAATCAAGACCTGTGGGGTCTTGATAATTCTAGTGAGATAAGAATGCATAAATACATATTTTAATGTTTGTATGCATTCAGTGAAGCCAATTAAAAGTATTTGTGTTGGCATGTAAATTCTTTAGAGATAGTATAGAATAATCAAACATGAACAGATTTTATATTAAAAACAGCAGAAATTTAGTCCAAGGACATGCTAAGATTCTCAAGTATAGTTCTGATACATGTTGTGATAAACCACCTCTACGGGACTATCCCTTTGAATTTTTTAAAGTCATCATGAAACGTATAATTCAATATTTTATGTTTCACTTCACTTAAGGAGTCTTCTGACCTTTGAGGCCATAAGTAACTAGAAAAGCTAAGCTTGTTGAATTCTATTTTCATTTTATAACACAGAATCCCCTATTAAATAATCCTGCACATTGTAATTCACTTGACAGAGTCTTGCTCTATCACCCTGGATAGAATGCAGTGGCATCATCATAGCTCATTGCAACCTCAAACTCATGGGCTAAAGTGATCCTCTTGCCTCAGCCTCTCAAGTAGTGGGGACTACAGGTGCGCATCACCACACCCAGCTATTTTTTTTTTTATTTTTGGTAGACACAGGATCTCATTCTTTCTAAGGCTAGTCTCAAACTCCTGAGCTCCTGAGCTCAAGTGATCCTCCCACCTCAGCCTCCCAGAGTGCTAGGATTACAGGCGTGAGCCACCACACCTGGCATAATTCATTTTTTACAAGCATATTAAAACTTCCTTAAGTTGCCTTGTTGACTTGTTGCATATTGCAGAATAATATGCATATAAAAGTAATCATATACTGAAAATGATACATTTTCTTCATATCTGCCTACACAAAACACAATAGAAAAAAGGATTTTTGTTTGAAGTTGTTTCAATTTAAAAAAAAAACACCCTGTGAATGTTATATCACAATTAAAAATTATGAGGGAAAATAATAGTTGTGTAAAATATTTAGCAGTAGTTACTGTCTGCACTAGCCATGCCTTTTCCTATCTATTCTGGGTAAGAACGAGTATTGAAAATGACACAAAATCCTACCCACACTCCATGACAATGAAACCAAATATAAATAAACATTTCAAGTGTCAACTGAATGGTAAATCTGTTATTTCCAGTGTTATATTACTGAGTAATATATTAAAAAAATGGGCTACAGTATAAATTTTCATCCATGTTGTTCATTTTACATTTAATTACAATAAGGCCTTGCATTACTATTATACTTAAGAATTTCATTTCACACAACTTGTCACCTCAACAAATCTGGATGATTAGGGAACATGTTCTACTTTCCTAATTAATGAGTCAGACATGTCTTATATTTCTTCTTAGTACTTTGTATAATGTTATGCCCATTATATATATATTGAATAAATGATCAAATGAATAGATGAAAATTAAGAGTTAAATACTATGTCATTTTCTTATAGTATATTTACTTCAAAATTAGTTTGTAAAACTCCTTGACCTTGTATTAGTCAACTTTTTGTCCTTCACTATGCATATCACAAAGTTTATACTAAATAGATGCCTTTATATTCATACTAAAGTGAATGCATATAATTAACAAAAATCCTAATTACTCTTTTAAAAATGGTTGAATATCTGAAATATGACTTAAAGAGTTTAAGAATTCTCCATGGTGATGATATTTTTATCTTAAAGGATGATTAATATACAAATTTTATATCATGAAAAATGAGGATAAATTTTACCAAGGAAAATAGTCTCTAAGTAACATTAAAAAGTTAAGAAAAATTATTTTTTATATATCTGTGAAGAATGCTGATGGGATTTTAATAGGTATTGCATTGAATCTGTAGATCAGTTTGGGTAGTATAGACATAACTGAGTAGCACCTAAGTGGACACATAGGTGCTACAGTAATAGGGTACTGGGGAGGTGGGAGGGGGGAGGGGGGCGGGTATATACATACATAATGAGTGAGATGTGCACCATCTGGGGGATGGTCATGATGGAGACTCAGACTTTTGGGGGGAGGGGGGAAATGGGCATTTATTGAAACCTTAAAATCTGTACCCCCATAATATGCCAAAATAAAAAAAAATTAAAAAAAAAGTTAAGAAAAAAATGGTAATGCTGGAGGGCTGGTAAAAATAAAAATCTTTATATATGATATTATCTATTGTTATTTTAAGAGAAAAGTACATATAGTGTATTGTGTTCTGAATGAGATAGATACACTTAGCTTGAATTAGAATTTTATATCAACTGGTAAGTGGCCTTGAACTTGATGTCAATGCTAGGTTTCTAGGTTTTTACACTTGTTTATATATCTTTCTCACTTGTTGTCTGTCTCTTGTTATGTAGGTAATAATAAATGATTAACTAATTAATCCATGGGGAAATAGATTTATTTCCTTCAAGCAACCTCTCATTCTCTCTTATACTATATGACCTCTATTATAATTTAGTTTGCTAAATTGTGCCATTTTTAGTGTAAAATGACTTATCCACCACAAATTCCAACCCCAGTGTAGCATACATACCCTGAGAAATAAGAAAACACTTAACTGGAGCCGCCTACAATTGTAAAATTAAAACATTTGGGGAAATTGTTTTCAGATGATGAATTAATATTATCTTGGATAATATTTTCAGAGTTAAGATGCTTTGAGTGCTTACTCTTGTCAGAAATAACTTGCAGAAGTTTACATGAGACAACTTATATAATTCTCATAGGTTTATAAATTAGGAATTATTATCATCTCCAGAGGAGAAAAGTGAGCACAGGCAGTGAAATTAACTTGCCCAGATCATACAGCTAGATCCAGACCTCAAAACCAGGCTCTCTGGGGACAGAGCATGTGCTTCTAGCCACCTGGAAAGATTTCTTCCCTTTAAAGAACAGTCACTTTTCCTTTAAAAAATATCAAAGATAGGTTTACATGCCAATGTAGAAAAACTGATAATAGTGGATTTGTTATTTCATGTGACATACTCTGAAACCTCTCTTATCTTCACCAATTCACACCTAATTAAGTAGTCACAGATCACAAAAACTAACAGTCTAGGCTTTGATGGAACCTTCACAGATGAATAGAAAAAAATGGATTCAGAAAATTTGTAATACATTTCTGTTTATATACATGAAATATAAAGAAATGGAAAAAAGCATACATTGTAAGTGTGTGTGCTATTTCTAGATATAATAATTAGAGCAAGGTGAAATAGAATAAAGCCCAAAATCCATTGATTTCTATTTCCACACTGATAAGTAACCTAATGTCAACATAATTTCATCCACCTAAAAAGCCCAGCTGAATATAAAAGCTCATGGTACCATCCACAAGCACACAAATAAACACACCCAGTACAACAAAGTCTTAAATTTCACCTGAGCATTTGCATTCCCTTATTTTCAGGCTTGCTGTTTGTTAAAGATTGGTATGAAAACGATATTCTTTAGACAGCTCCATCCATTGCCTTTCATTCCAGAGAACTCCATTCTAACATCCCATCTAAAGCAACAACTAGTGACTCAGTTCAAGATTTGATTAACCTCACACCCACTTTAGTAGTAAGAGAAAGAAAACAAACATGAATGAGATGCTGGTTCTCAGTGGTTTTTGTTCATATCACCCTCATTTTCTGTGACATGGTACCACATGGTTCTGTGAGCACTCGTCTCACGAGCTATTCCTTGGTAAATTAAACAAAGGGATTAAAAACTTCAGGAAGATGAAAAGGAGAAGGGGAGAAAACAAACAAGCAAACAAAAACCCCTTTGACCTGACATTATGGAAAAAATAAAAAAAAAAGACACTAAGATGAAAAAAAAATAGTGTCATGGTTTACATGTGGGATTTTGATGGAATCTAGGGCTGTGTTTTAATTCAAAACTCACCATCTCAAAACCACTTCTTTTCATCCGCCTGCAGGACTTGAGGTAAGTACGTATACGTTTTCTGGCACGCTCTTGATACTCAGGGAATTGTCGCCTGCATGAGTCAATGATAGCCTGGATCTTTTCTTTGGGCTGCTTAGAGATTGGGACCATTCGGTCCAAGTTTTCATCTACAAACAGCCTGACAAACATCTGTTGGCAAGAGGGAGACAGAGGAGAAGGGTTTGGAGGGCTGCTCTCTTCTGTTCCTAGCTTCCTGTCTTGATTACCGATAGGAAAAATACTCTTTTCTGGTTTATGCACTGGAGAACTTTGCAATGGAAAGCCAGAAAATTTTAAGCAAACACTCTTTAAAGACTTTTCTAAATGGTTGGATTAAAAAATAGAGAGAGAAAAAGAGAGAGAAAGGGAGACAGACAGACACACAGACAGAAAAGAATATCGTGTAGAAAAAAATCAGGAAATAACAGTAGACTGTGACAATTGAGCACCCCATTAAATTCTCTACTAATGATAAATACGACTGTTACATTGCTACACTGCACAGTGGACTAATCTCTGAAAGCAAACAATTGACTCTTTTGTCATGCATAATTAGATAAGCTAGGAAAGCAAAAGAAATAACAGATGACGGGCGTACTCTTCCGAGGACTAAGCTGAGGCCCCCTCCATCCACTAGGTAAACATGCATACTCACACAACACAATTCCAGTTTTCAGCTCACATTTGGCTTTAAAATTCTAAACAAAACACAGCAATTCTGGTGTCTGGTTGGCAAAGAGTGTTTCATGTACTTTTTAAATCCTTCTGTAAATTAAACAAACATGTCTCTAAAATATCCACATTTACCAACAAGCAACAACATGAAAGTGAAGTGGTAAAAATTAAACCACACTTGGAGTGTGGCGAGACTCACATTAAAAGCTTTCAGCCGCTCAGCTTCAACGCCGTCTGTCTCGTTCACTTTCTCTGAATCGTCGTGGTCGTCGTGGTCATCTTCATCCTCATCTCCCCTGTTTAGTGACAGGTCCTCAGCGCCTCGTTCTACGCTCTCATTTTTGCCAGAATCATAGCTTGAGTAACTATGCGCCGGAGACTGAAAAGAGAGGGCGAAATGGCTGCTTTTAAATTCGTTGCACAACCTTAAACATTTTATGTTTTATTTCTAATTGTCCCAATTTCTCAAAGATCTTGCTTATGAGCTGATAACTCTAGAGCTGTGGAAATTTAAATTTGCATCCAAATTAATGCAAAATCAAATTAGAAATTCATTTCCTCAGTGACACTAGTCACACTGCAAGTGCCCACTAGCCATACGCAACATTTCCATCACTGCAGAAAGTTTTGTTGAATTTGGTTGTTCAAGAGCAATTACTATTTCCACTCAATAGCTATATGCCAAACAAAAAAGCAACCTGCAATCAATTTTTGCAAGAGCATCACTGAATCACATATTCTTAGAAACAGATATGACTTCGGTGCTTAGTCAGCTTAGTCAGTCTAGCTTAGTATTAGCATTTTTTAAACATGTATGGAAACTGAGGGATGGGTATGTTTAATTAACTTGCCCAACAAGAACTATACAAGATATTTTTTGTGATTATGGCTATTAGTTATAAGTCAGTATGCTATAAAATAAATTTACAATTTGTCTATGAGTCTTCAGATGTCCCTTGACTTTGGTTTAGTAAAAGGGAATCACGTTTTTTCCCAATTGCCTGTTAAGTTTAGAGCTTCTGTATCTAACACTATACAAAGGACATGACGCATTTAAAGCAAGAACAATTAGATGAGTAACTCTGGTATATATTTCAATGTAAAAATCATTAAATATCTGAAAATTTAAAATATTTAACAGCTCATGTTCACATATAAACAGTTGATGGCCTTCTTAGAGGTGCAGTTGTCAGAATACAATAAAGTCTATCTATGTGTACCTGGGCCATTCAACAATAAACAAACTGGCTTTTGATGGTTTTTTATTTTGGGATTACACATATTCAAAATATTTCCTCTTAGGACTTTCTAGCTAATTCCAGAGTTAGTTTGGAAGAAATAAAGGAAATCCAAATATATGGTGTGATAAGGAGCTGATTCAGTCATGAATAGCATAACAATAAGCTTTTATATAACCCCTTGGAAACCATCACACTGACCAATAATCATTTAAACATATTCTGGGTATCTTTGATAAGATATTAAACTAAGATATAATAGAATTTAAAAATGAATATTTTATATCTATTTTTATTTAATGATGTAAAAGATATTTTCTGAGATATTAAATACCATAAAACAAATAATGAAGAAAATGAGAGACACAGAGAAGAAATTAGCACTGAGAACCACCATTCACCTAATCTATTGGTTCCCTTCATCTTTCATAGCAACCTGGTGAAAAGATGTTACCCTAAGATTCTGCAGATCAGAAAACAGCTTCAGAAAGGCTAAATAACTTCTCCTTTTCTAGAGAATGATACAACCATTATTTGAACCTAAGTCAGCATGAAACTAAGAGTGGTGGGATAAGGAAGTTTTCTCTTTAATACAGATTACAATTTTGTTTCTGAAGGTATATATATGTTTGCATATAATTAGAAGACGAATATAAAATATTTGTTGGTTTATGTACATGTTAATATGAAAACATTTTAAAAGTGATTTCACCTAATATTATTCTGCCTAAATAAATTAGATGTATTATTTCCTTTTACTTATAGAATAATCTACAATTTATAAATCTTCAGTAAGAAACATTATCACTTGCTATAAAATTTCCACATGATGTATTTAAACAATTTATTATTGCTTCATACACATCTTTCCTCATTTGTTTCAGTTGGACAAAGTGGAGGAAAAATACACTATTGTAATTAAATGAAGATAACCAAGTTTTCTTAACATAAAACATCCATTGAATAAAACAGTAAGAAGCAAGAATAATGAACAACTTTTAAGATGAACATGAAAAGCAGTAATTTCTAAAAACTCCTGTTCCAAACCCAAATCTACCTCAATGTCAATCCCTTCTTCCCTCAACAAACTCTTACTGAGTATAACTATATATTTGGTACTGTCCTAACATACTGTGCCACAGCAACAATCCATTAACAATTATTTTTTGAGCACCCATTATGTGTTAGAATTTTTCTAAGGATTTTACATAGATCATATTTCATTTACAATAAACTGGTTAAGGAACTCCATTTGCTTATTTATGCATGAAGAAATCGGGATTTGAAATCACTCAGTTTGGCCCTGAGTCTACGATCTTAACTCTATTCTCTGCTCTCTCTCTCTAGAATTGCTACTTATGAGACTATTTTTATAATATCAGTAGGAATCAACTCCTAAGGCTCTGTATTTCTGGACAGCAACTTTTAAAATAGAAATACCTCTGGGATGAAATTTATTAAATCTATGCCATCATTTAACATCTAACTCTGAATTTTCCTGAACAAAGCTAATGGAAGGTATGTATTTTATATGGGTTGGAGCCTATTTAATAATGTTTTGTATTTATGGAGTGTTAAAATTTACATAAAGCTTTAATCTCCATGTAACTGAACTTCACAGAAGGACTGGTATTAATATATCTATATTATACATGATTTAAAATATATATAATGATAATAAATCATATTAATATATGTGATGGTTAATTTTATGCATCAACTTGGCTGGATAATGGGTGTTCTGATAGTTGGCTAGACATTATTAATATTTCTGGGTGTGTCTCTGAGAATGTTTCTGGATGAGATTAGCATTTGGATGGGTGGATTCAGTAAAGCAGATTGTCCTCCCTAATGTGGGTGAGCATCATCCAATCCTTGAGAGCCTGAATAGAACAAAAGGTACAGGAAGGAAAAATTTGCCCATTCTGCTGGACTGCTTAGTTGGGACATATTGAGACTTACACCATTACTTATATCATAAATTCCCCTGGTTCTCAGGCCTTCAAACTGGGACTTAACTACACCTTTGGCTTCCCTCGATATTCAGCTTTTAGAAGGCAAATCATGGGACTTCTCAGCCTCAGTAATTGCATGAGCCAATTCCTCATAATAAGTGCATATGTATATTATTTGCATGTATCATATAGACATATAAAACTACTTTACAGATGATTAAGTCAAGGCTCAGTTAATCTAACTTGATGAGCTAACATCAGACACTGAGAAAAGTGGCAGGAGAAGTTAAGTGGAGGCCATCCGTCCATCACTGGGAGGGTAGGACTACATGGGGTTTCAGAGTGGGAGGCCATGGATGGGAATTAGCACAAAGAATGAGAATGTCGGGTTTCAGGATCTGAGTCAATTACAAAAGTAAAAGGAGAAATGTATAAAAGAAGATGAAAGCCAATCAAAACAATTTTCATAAACTTAGATAGTTGTGTCTAAGACTAAACATGGGCCCCGTTGTGGTATATCCTACTTGTTTGTCATCCCTGCACCTTTTCCTTTCAGAAACGGCCCCTGCCAATCCTTTGGGTACCAACCTTCTCTACTCTCGCCATGCAGGCTTCAACTTTGCCTCTGGGTGGAGAGCTGGCCTGAGACTGAAACCAAGCTGAATACAGCAGAGTTAAGTAACGCAGAGAGAGTCCTGATAGCATAACTTGTACATCTAGATCCAACTATTTAATATTCCGGAAATAATACCTTCAGTTAAGTAATATCATATATCCTCCACCTACACAACATGATTTATTTTTTGTTTAAATTTGAGTTTCAGTCACCTGTGATTATGACTGGAGTGGCATAGAGATCAATCATTACAAGGCCAGAGCAACAATACAGATTTCACACATGATAATACAAACACATGGCCCCAGACAAATGGATAATAGTATCTCCATAAACAGCAGAAGATACTCTCAAATCCACCAACAAAGTAAAATGCTATTGAATGACCTTTACAATGGGAAATTTTGTATTGGCTGTGTTCAGAAATGTCTCCATGCACTGAATATATACATATATAGATAGATATAGATATAGATATATAGCATGCTTTAAGGATTATATTAACATAATATAAATATATAATCAGAGATGGAATAATAAAACTAGAGTAGATCCCTGACATTAGCAGTAAAGATAGATTTTAAAAACAGCATATTCTTACAATTAAAATCATTAACAAGGTGGAATTACCTAGTAAAATACAATAAGACAAATATTCCATAGGTTTGAAAAGTTTACCTTTTCAAATATAAAATATAGTAAATATATTTTAAGTGTCAATGCGAAATATTTTAAAAATATTATAACACAGTTATCTGAATGCAAAATATGCTGAGCAAATTCATTCAGTGGAACCATGAAGGATTTATAGCACTAGTCATTCAAGGTTATAAAAAATCTTGCAGATATGAGAATATTCACGATCTAAATTTAAAGCATGATCACTTTTTTTTCCCTCTACAAAATAAACTAAATTTTTGCTTCTCAGCTGGAGTATCATTTCTTGCCCCTTCACCATTTAAAATCTATCTTTTAAGGCCAGAATAGGTTCAATTTCCAAAAAGATTCCAGTTTTTACCTCAGTCTACTTCAATCTTTTTCTAAATTGTGGACTTAATTTAACACAGAATTAAATACTACCATTGCTTTCTACTTTTCTTTTTTCTGTTAATCTGCATATGCCTGTAAACTAAACTGAGACAGGAACCAACAAATATCCCTTTACCTTTGCCCTCACTGTATTGGAGACATGCTTGCTACAGATGGGCCTTTAAGACTGCTTGAAAAAGCTTCTTTTTTCTATAAAATTATTTGGTTTTTAAAAATTGGGTATGTGGGTATTACAGTGATATCATAGACTGAAGCAATAAAAATTACTATATGTCTACAAATAACATACATAAAATACAGCAGTCATTTTTTCCATTAGCCTGCCTTGCCTTAATAAGATTTTAGAAGACCATGACCTAGAAAACCTTCATTCCAGGAACAACTGTTTTCTTATTTCGTGTATAAATCTAAAAAATCCAAACCAGATCTTAAAAAAAAAATCCAAAGATATTAAACAACCACAATTTAGGTCTTATGGAAGATGGATACCTGCTTATCCTCAAAACATACCCTGTATTTC